GTAAACTTAGAACTTGAAATGTTAAAAGTTGCTATTTAATATTGCTTTCATTTAACCATTATAACTCTTTGAATATTAATTCAATTAATACAAAAGCTCCAATTCAATATGAAATTGCCAGGAATATATATATATATATATATATATATATATATATATATATATATATATATATATATAATAAAATTATAAATAATTCTAATATTTGGAAGTGTACATTTATTTAAATTATACGATTTGTATATTAGCGTTTAAATTGATTACTTAAATATTATATTAGAAATAGTCTAAACAAAAAATAAAAGGAAGAATATGGTTAATTGATATTATTTCAAGTAACAAAAATATACTATAATCAAATGAGGAGAATCTCTATGTTTAATTATCATAGTAAGATTAAAGTATTAAATACAGGTTGGTAATATGGACGTAAGTATATGTATGTAGCTTTACTTGTTGTTGTGGGGTTTACTTAACATTACTCGCTAATGTTTTTAAAATATGTTTTCAGGTTTGGAGAAGAGTATCTTTTGCGAGCGCGCTATCTAGTCTTGATGGAGTAGTCCTAAACCCTTGATCTTAAATAGATATTTTGTTGAATTCTATAGTTGGTTTATGTTTAGAGTTGATGTAAGAACCTTATGGGATATGTTATGATTTATAAATTCATGAGCTTAGCTTTCGCTTTACCACTTGGATTTAGAATGATCTAAATGTGGCATAATATCCCTATGTAGTTTGGTTTTGCTTCTGCGCATTTTGAGTAATTCAGCAATTGAACTTTATTCCTTTTTTTTTTATTCTATATATTTCAGTATTAGAAATTGAGGGTGTTACAAACTCTACCATATGCTCTAATATTAGATTTTTTTTTAGCTAACATTTTTTTACAAATCACTTGTTTGAATTGCCAAACAAGGCCTTAGTCAATTTTAGGCAGCGAGACTTCCACCATCTCCAACATCAGCTTCGGTTGACTTTGACTATAGGCAGCCTTCTTCATCTCCATTTTTGGCTCCAATTTTAGTTCTAAAACAAAATGTTCAATTTGGGATTCAATCAAACAACTTCATATTCAAATAATGTCAAGTTCATATCCATTGCTCCGCCTAAACATTTGATCACTGTTTTAGCAAATAATTTACAAGTACTAAAATATTGGGGAGTTCTATTTTCCCAAATAATACGTATGATTTTTGGCTTGGGTTAGTAGATTATTTTTCAAGACTCAAAATTAAATAGGGAAATTTTTAAAATCATAATTTGGCTCATCAAAACTATTACAATTATTATTTCTATCAGTTTGGTTGACAAAATTATTAGGTTTTATATATTTGTTAGCAGAAAATGTATATTGGGCTATTTGAAGGTAAGATCACTACTGGAAATTCTGAAATTTCCGACCACCTGAAAATGATCTTAAATTAAGTTGATACCAAAAAGTCCAAAAAGTGGTCGGAAATAGCAACAAAGGTTTTTCCGGATACCAAAAGTGGTCGGAACAAGACTTTTAACTTGATTTATGATCATTTTTAGGTGGTCGGAAATTTCAGAATTTCCAGTAGTGGATATATCAATCATTATTGCATGGAGCATGGTGGATCATAAATAAAAAGTATATTTTTAATATACTAAAGGTACATTATTTATGTACGTAAGGTACATGTTTTGAAAATATATTTTTAATATACTAAAGATACATTATTTTATATAATGTACCGTGAATACAAAAATAATGTACTTTTAATATATTAAAAATGTTCTTGATATCCATACTCCGATCCATAGTCCACACAATAATTTGCCAATAGTTATGCTGTGCAACCGAATGCACCATGCGCATGGTGCATACGATGCAAAACGACGTCGTTTTGACTAAAAACGCGCGTCCCACTTATAAAAAAAAAAAATCCAGGTTCGATTCTCGACAATAGCATTATTGTGGATATATAATTATGAATTTCTGGATATATAGTTATGAATTTCTGGATATATAGTTATGAATTTATGGATATTTAGTTCATTCATTGTGGATATTTACTTCATTCATTCACTGTGGATATATAGTTATGAATTTATGGATATATAGTTATGAATTTTTGGATATTTAGTTCATTCATTGTGGATATTTAGTTCAATCGTTGTAGATATTTAGTTCATTCATTGTGGATATTTAGTTCATTCATTGTGGGTTTTTACTTCATTCATTCAATGTGGATATATAGTTATGAATTTATGGATATATAAAAATGCTATTGCCGGGAATCGAACTTGATTTCTTTTTTAAGTGGAACGCATGTTTTTTAACCAAAACGACGTCGTTTTGCATCGTATGCACCATGCGCATGGTGCATTCGGTCAGGGCCGTTCCAATCAAAATTGGGGTCCTGTGCAATATTTTAATTTGGGCCCCCTTTTCAAGTAATTTTTATATATAAATAAGGGGGCGTTTGGTTCACGGAATCTTAGATTACCCCAGGTAATAGGATTACCACCTGGAAGGTAATGTGAGATTTGGGAATGTAAGATTACCTTGTGTGTTTGGTTCGGATGGTGTAATATAATATTACCTTGTTTGGTTCAGAGTTATATTTTAGGTTATATGGATCAATTTACGATAATGTCCTCAATAATATATATATATATATATATATATATATATATATATATATTATGTCTGTATTTATTTATATCTATGAAGCTTAAATATTAAAAAACTAAATATACAAATATGTATATTTCATTATATAAACATATATTAATTTCATTATTATTATTATTATTATTATTATTATTATTATTATTATTATTATTATTATTATTATTATTATTATTATTATTATTATTATTATAATGATTAGTTAACAAGGGCAAAGTTGGAATAATTCAAGGTAATCTAAGATTACCTAAAAAAAATGGGGGTAATCACATTACCTTGAAACATTACCGCCACATCAGCTTTCAGGTAATATAACATTACCTGGTAATCTCATAACTTGAACCAAACAAGGTAATATAACATTACCAGACTCAGATTACCCAGGTAATCTAAGATTACCTGAACCAAACGCCCCCTAATAGTTATTCAAAAAGTAGTGTCAAAAATTCAAAATATAAATAATGTATTAAAAAAATACATCTAAAATTTCATTTAATTAAAAAGTAAAATGCGTCGTGCACACTTAGACGCAAAATCATCTACTAAACTTTTGATATCAATTTCTTCCAAAATCTCATTTTCAAATCATCTACTAAACTTTTGATATCAATTTCTTCCAAAATCTCATTTTCAATAGAGATTAAAGCTAATCCATTGAGTCTCTCTTGCAACATACTTGATCGTAAGTAAGATTTCAACAATTTCAACTTTGAAAAACTCCTCTCTGCAGAGGCAACAGTAATTGGGATAGTCAATAATATTCGATGTGCAATAGTAGCATTTGGAAAACAACCCATCTGTTTCAATGAATTCAATATACTCACTGCTCCTATATTTTCTTTCAATAAAATCTCTCTAAGTAAAAACTCAAATTAAATAACTCACAAATAGCAATTCTTTTTTTTAGGAAACGAACTGTAATTTTTTTTTTTTTAGGAAACAAACAGCAATTCCTCAATTCTCAAATACTCAAATTAAAAACTCATTAAATAAATTAAATAATAGACAAATACCTGTATTGTAGAGTGTAGACTGCAATCAGAAATTGTGTGTGTCTCGTCTACGATTTGTCCGTCCTCAGCTCGTAATTCGGAAATCGGAATTCTTACGGTAATTGTCTAATTGATGCCTACTGCGGCACTGCCTAATCAAGGCACTTATATAATTTAGGTTAGGTTAATAAACTTGTGGCTTGGCTTTCAAGATTTGTTTGAATTGAATGTTGATTGGCTGATTGAGGCATTGCGCTGCATGTGATGTATATATATACTAATTTTTTTTTTTTTTAAAATAAGGGGCCCCCAAATTTTGGGGGCCCTGTGCGGTGGCCCTGCATTCGGTTGCACAGCATAATTTGCGATAATTTGCCAAGATATATAGATTAGACCAAAAAGGTTGGGCTTAAAATAGTTGGATTATTTGGGCTCAAGAATAACTAACTAGCTCAAGAATTTAAAATAGATATAGGATTAGGAATTTAAAAATCATTTGGGTTTAGAAAATTTGATACGTATAAAAACGATATAGACATGCTCATCTCAGATAGATTTTAGATAGCAAAATTATGGACTATAAAATAGTTTATTTAAATTTAAGAGCAAAATAATTTTTTTGATAATATTCAGGTTAAAATGTTACGGATTGAAAAATAAATTTTATTTTCAAAAATATTTTATTAAAATAAGGTGATTTAAAATATCGGGATGTGACAGCGGTAGCGTCAAATTATGTTGTGCATCCTATGCACCATGCATTGCATACAGATGCAAAAACGACGCCGTTTTAGATCAAACACGCATCCTACTTTAAAAAAAAAAAATAATTTCGATTCCCAGCAACAACATTATGTTATTCATTTTTTAGTTCATTCATTCTGGATTTTTAGTTATGAAATTCTGGATGTATAGTTATGCAATTCTGGATGTATAGTTATGCAATTCTGGATGTGTAGTTATGAAGTTATGGATGTGTAGTTATGCAATTCTGGATTTATAGTTATGAAGTTATGGATGTGTAGTTATGCAATTCTGGATTTATAGTTATGAAATTATAGATGTGTAGTTATGTAATTTTGGACGTATAGTTATGAAATTATGGATATGATGAAATTATGGATGCGTAGTTATACAATTCTGATAATTTTTTTTTCTAAAGTTAGACATCAAAACTACGTCATTTTTGCATCCGTATGCACCATGCATGGTGCATACGGATGCACAACATAACAATTGAGCGGTAGCATCCCATTTCCCTTTGGTAAAGGCTTCCGTAGTTGTTGATTTGGTTTAAACATGCTTATCTGTACCAAGAATTATACTAGAGAAGTCATAAGAAAACTACCATCTATTTTTCCCATTTCACCCCGCTAGGTCCATCGCAATGTTGTTTATGGTAACAAACCCAAGAAATAGGTATGTAAATAGTATGCCCTGATTTCCCTTAGTTTCATTTTTTATTTTTACACTTTATTAACATTTTGGCAGGGCCGTCCCTGGCCATGTTTGGCCAGGGCAAGCGCACAGGACTCCCAAATTTTGGGGGCCCCAAATATTACGGTATGTCCACGCATTTACATATATAGTTTAGTTGCTGTGCCCCCAAATTTTGGGGGCACTTTTATTAAAAAAAAATATTAGTATATATTTATGGTTTATATTTTACATTATTAGTGTTGGTATAACTTATGTATAAAGAAATTATGACGGTCTAAAATTCTACAAAATTTACATTCCTAATTCCTAAGGACTTGATTTATGTATAGAGTTATAGTCCTATAATTTATAGGAATTAAGGCGGGTCTATTTGACTATTGTAAAATTATTATATATCAAGAGTAAAAAATTACTCATATTCCTATTATAATGCATATACACAAAATTTGTATTCACTGTGGAGGGATTCGATCTCAGTAATCATTAATTTGAAGTGTATTATTTGTGCATTTGACATCCTCAATTTTTTTATTCTTCATAATAAAAGGATGAAAGTATGTAAGTTAAATATTTTAATCCTTTAATTTTATTCAAAATTTTAAAATTTATTGTATGTAAGTTATTCAATAACTAGCCCTAGTTAAAGATTTTTTGATAGGTGAATAACAATCTAATTTCTTGTATTTTGATGCTACAATTGCAATATTAAATAGTCTTGACTATTTTCATTTCTGTTTTTTATGATCAAGTATATGGTAAGAAAGACTTTGGTGAATGATTTTACATCTAAATATGCATGAAGAAGTGGAAGAATGTCACTTTTCAAGTGAAAATTTGAATGATAATTTTTTTTTTTATAGATTATTATATATTTTGGTACAATATAATATATCTTCATTTGATTATAGTACGTATATTTCTGTTACTTAAAATAATATCAATTAGCCATTCTATCCTTCTATTTTTTGTTTATACTTTTCTTAATATAATTTTATTTTAACTTTTTAAGTAATCAATTTCAATACTAATATACAAATCTTATAATTTCAAAGAAATATACACCTTCAAATATTAGAATTGTTTATAATTTCATCATTAATTTTATTATTTAAATATATATAAAAAAATTTATCCGTGCATCGCACGGGTAATTTACTAATTTACAATTATACAAAAAGGGCGCCATGTTAAATTTTCGCACAAGACCCCAATCTTCTTAGGAACGGCCCTGCATTTTGGTCTTGCCCCCTTAATTGAATATGTTTGGCAGAGTAGATATATATTTGCTAACACCTAGAAGTAGTAGTAGTCCAAAGACTGTTGTGGCATTTGTCGCAGGTGGAGATAGAGTAAGACTGTTGTGGCATTGGCCTTGCTTTTCATGATTAATAATCTGCAGGTGAAGAAGCCAAATCAAAAGCCAGTCTGCTGCTAGATGAACTAAGAGGTGTTGTCACACTCTCAAGAGTGAACAAAAACAATATAGACAAAAAAAAAAAAATAGTCATGAACTTCAGGTATTCAGTTTTAATTAAGAGCATTGCTTTGGCCACAAACAATTTCTCTAATGCAAGTATGCTAGGAAAGGGTGGTTTTGGACCCGTTTATAAGGTAACCTTCACAATATCTTTTGTTTTAAAAGAGTTTTGGAAGTGAGTAATTAATCTTATTGTATTGAAATTTCAGGGAACATTACCTGATAGACAAGAAGTAGCTATTAAAAGACTCTCAAAAAGCTCAGGCCAGGCTAAGGGCTTTTGGAGTTCAAGAATGAAATTTTATTGATTTTCAGACTCCAGCATACTAATCTTGTTAGGCTTTTGGGTTGCTGCATCGAAGGAGATGAGAAAATTTTAATTTACGAGTATATGCCCAATAAAAGCTTAGATTCCTTTTTATTTCGTAAGTATACACATTGGTAATTGCAAGTGATTTATATAATCATATACTATCTGTTGTATTCATAGTTGTATGAATTTGGAATGAACAGACCCTGACAGGAAGGAGCTGCTAAGATGGGGGAACCGATTGAACATTGTAGAAGGAATTGCTCAGGGGTTACTCTATCTCCACAAATATTCGAGGTTGACGGTTATCTATAGAGATTTTAAAAGCGGCAACATCTTATTGGGTGAGTAAGAAACTGTCGCACCCAGTTATTTCATTATTTTAATGCTATGTGCTTGTACGTAGATTATGGTTTTGACTTGTGAATGTTGGCTGTAGGTAAGTAGGAAGATAGACTTGGTCTATGGTGGTGGAAGTATAAGTTTGATGGGTTTGATTTCCAAAAGAGCCTATGATAGATGATATGCACAATAATTGTAAACATGTAATTTAATTTGGTGGACTGTAACACCCCGTGTTACGATCCCTAAAATCAATTAAATCATTTAGCCAATTACCCAAAAGAAGGAATTAAATCACAATAATTAATTAGGAAAGGCCCACCATAGTCCATGGGCCCTTATCCCTAAACCCAATCCTTAGTTCCAAAAGAAATAGAATTAGCAAGCCTATAATATTAGTTCCTAACTAGGACTCCTAAATATATAAATAGGGGGCTTAAGAGGCACCTAGAACCCCCCACCACAATAAACGTTCCACCACCCCAAAGAGCTCCAAGAATTCCCTTAGAAGAAATCAAGAAAGCAAGAAAGCTTAAAGAAAGACCCTTCATAGCCAAGGAATTAATTAAGGCTAAGAGGTAACCCATGTCTCAACAAAACCTATTTTCATAGCTATGATTCCCCTCTTAGGAATTCCCCATATTATTGTGTATTGATGATTTGTGTTATTATTGATGATTGATGGGATAATTCCATGGGTGATCTTGATGATGAAAGGTTCTTGATAATTATGGTGTTCTTGATGATTATATGACGTTCTTGATGATTATATGATTTTCTTGATGATTGTAGGATGTTCTGGATGTTTATATAATATTCTTACCGAATCTTGATATTAGAAGATGAATCGTGACCTTGTTGATTTAAAAATGATTAGAACCCTAGGTTGTATCGTATGGAATTATGCTTGGTATATTGGGTGGGAATTCGCATGATTGGGTGTTTATTATGTTTAGAAAAGCATGATAGGTTATGTGCCGTTTGTTTCCTGATTTTGATCCGTTAATTGTCTACGTGTGTTATCAATTGCGTTTGAAAGTGTCTAAGCATGGTTTCGGGTTCCACAAAGGTTCCCGGGGCGTTTTTGATGAAAAGAGTCAGTGGGGGGATAGGGGACCCGCCACCTACCCACGGCCTTCTTGCGGCAGCGGGCAGCTGCCCGCCGGGCACCCGCTGCCCGGAATGGCTGCCGCCGGCGGGCAGCAGGCGGGTGAACCCTCACCCACCGGCTACCCGCTGGTTTGCACCCCAATTGGGGATTTTGGCTTCCCCGTTTGATGTTCCCCCGACCCCCGTGGTGTCCCAACGGACTCCGTCTATCGTGCCTATGTCTAGTTTGATTTTCGGGTACCGTTCGTAGGTCGTATGGGTCTTATATATTGCATGCTAGTTGAATTGGTATCCCGTTGACCTAGGTGAAAGAAGTATGAACCCCTTAGGACTATTCTTAGTATGTGAAGGATCACGCATAGGTTTTGTTATACGTTTTCTCCCCCTTCCCAATGTGTTAATGTGGGTTGCATGTGCTTGCTATGTGTTATGTGTGCATGTTACCCCGACTTGGTTAAGATCAATCGGGCTATACGGGCAGTCGGGTGGGCTGAGAACCATACCGGCTGTTAACCAGGCTGGTAGAGACCGGTCAGGTATATAAATATTATATAGGACTAAGATCCACTATACGGGCAGTTGAATGGGTTGAGAACCATCCCAACTGTTAACCAGGCTGGTAGAGACCGGTCAGGTATATAAATATTATATAGGACAAAGGTCCACTATACGGGCAGTTGAATGGGTTGAGAACCATCCCAACTGTTAACCAGGCTGGTAGAGACCGGTCAGGTATATAAATATTATATAGAGCTGCGGCTCACCGGTCGGTTGCGATCGACCCCTCCGTGCTGTCAGACGGGGTAGGGTGTTGCGGGGCCGTGTCAGAGTTATATGCGCTGACCCTCATGTATGGGCATGCGATTGGTCCTAGGGATGGCAATGGGTCGGGTGTGGGTCGGGGAAGGCTACATCCATCACCCGACCCACCTTATATTTTCTCCACCCACCCCCACCTCCAACCCGCATCGGGTGGATTTTTTCAGAACCCACCCCCACCCCCACCGGGTGCGGGTGCCCACTACGGGTACCCACCACTTATCATCTTATTATGTTTTTCAAAAAATAATATTTAAATTATTTACATAATAAAAAAAATAAAATCCATTAGTGATACTAAAACATAAATAATGGAAATATTTAAATATAACTAAATTGTTAATTTTTTAAAATAAACTTAGTAGTTTTGATATAAAAAATAGTAAAAAGATACACAGAGTTATATAAACTATTATAAATAACTACATACTAGTATTTATTTTACTATTATATATCTATACACACACACATGGTGGGTCGGGTGGGGTTCTAGGCGGGTCTTGTACATAGAACCCGAATCCAACCCGACCCACCGCGGGTTTTCTTTTTTAAGACCCACCCCAGACCCACCACCCACCATCACCCAAAAACACCCGATCCATGCGGGGTGGATTCGGGTGGATATCCACGGGTCGGATTGAAATTGCCATCCCTAATTGGTCCTGTGGCGCCAACAAAGTGTGCTATGTGATGAAGTATGGATGAGTTGTTGTTATGAGTATCTTGGAGATGAGACTATGAGATTTGTACCGGGGATTGTATATGTTGGGTTATGATTATTAATTGTGCTTATCTTATATGTCTTGCCTGTTGTAAACTGTATATGTTTGGTGTAACTGCTGTCTGTGCTTAGCCCTATCTGTTGAGTCTATCCCTGTTTCAAAAGCTAGAGTTCGTAGGAGATATCTTCACGTTCAAAATGACTTTTCGTATATCTATATAGATATCTATATGTATTGTATTTCAACACGTTGGAGTGGGTTACCAGCATCTCTCGCTGAACAGATATATTTGGCTTTCAGGCACAGACGAGTAGATCACTGGAGCAGGCTAGAAGCTTGGGCGTAGCTTAGATAGTTTTTCCCTTTCGGCCTGCGTGCCATGATTTAGTATTGATACCATTTGAGGATATTAGTTAGTTAGCCTGTGCACATGAGTTCTCTAGCTCAGGTGTGGCATAGCACCCCGCACTCTTGAATTATGTTTTGGGATTTAATGGGATTTCACCTTTATTTTATAAGTTTTAAATATCTCGAAAATCTGGGGTGTTACAGTTGGTATCAGAGCCTAAATTGACCCTGGGACAAGACTCTTAAGACCAGACTTTAGGACAACAGGCTCGAACTCTAAGTATTTAGGAACATAGGATTCAGGAATCTTAGGACATGCGGTGAAACTGTGAAACCTACACATAATCTCCCTTACCTGGAGAAAACTTCCCCCCGTTATCACAAAAAGGGACATCAAGCCCCAATTTAACGTTCTTATAAACATTGACCCAGGAAGACGACAACATGGCACCCAACAGAAGACAATCAAGGACTCCAGAACCCGCCGCGCACGACCCCCTAACCCGAACGCTACAACAACTAACACAAGTCGCCCAAGCACTAAGCGACGTGGCTCTCCGCAACTACAGGCCCCCACCGCCTCCGTCAAGCGCAAACGCAGACCTCGCCCGACAAGTCTCTAACCAGCGACCACCCACATTCTCAGGAGAAGAGGATCCTGTAATCCTGGAGGAATGGATCCGAACCCTTGACAAAATTCTCGGATTAGTGGAATGCCCAGAAGAACGCCGCGTGGAGATAGCCTCGTTCTACTTCGGACACGAGGCCGATCTCTGGTGGATCCACGAGGGTCCTACTTACCAACAAGAACCGGGGTTCAACTGGGAACAACTCAAAACGCGACTACGAGAGCGATTCTATCCAACACAAGTAAGGGCATCCATGTACGAGGAGTTTCTCCATCTGAAACAAGGGGCAGCTACCGTCATGGAATACCACAAACGATTCCTTGAACTAGCACGCTTCGCACCAGAACTAGTCCCCACCGAGGTGACCAAAATAGAAAGATTCGTATCGGGCCTCAACTTTGAAGCCCGAAAGGCACTAGTGGTAAGCAGACCTCGGACTCTCAACGAGGCCTACTCCAGTGCCGCTAACCTCTACCGAATCCAACTACTCCAACGCGGGGTCCAAGAGCAGATACGAAAGAGGAACCCCGGAGGAGGGGCACCACCAGTAAAGAGAGCAAGAAACGACACCAATACAAGACCGAGTAACCTGACCAACCAAAGGCCACCCCTGGGGAACAACGACGCTAACACCAGGAACTTTCCTTGTCCAAAATGCAACAGGAACCATAGAGGCAAAGATTGCATGGGCAATCCTTGCGGTGCTTCAACTGCGGAGAAGAAGGACACAAGGCCTTCCATTGCGCCCAACCCCAGGAACCACGCACTACCACCATGGGACAACATGGGAGCACCTCTCATCAAGGAAACTACGGCGCTCCTGGGAAAATATTCATCATGAGCCGCACTCAAGCCGACCTTGGGAACGAGAACAATCTCGAGGAAAGAAACCCAACCCCAGAAGACGAGGACCACGCAGACCCCGTGGGAGAAAGCCAAGAAAACGACTTCTGTCTAGGATAAGTCGGCAATTTCCTTGTAATCACCTTCGTAGTAGAACTACTTACTTAGCTTAATTACTTGGAAGTATTATAAATAAAAGATTAGTTCGAAATTCGGTCCTATTTACGGGGGGGATAGGACTAAAACCATACAAACTAGCCAAAACCACTAAAAGCCGAAATAAGGAAAAGATAAGGGCCCCATCATCAAAGAGCATAGTGTTACCAATGAGAATTGTACTCTTGATCTCCCATTTACAAGACCAAGGTTTTGACCACTAGGCTAGGGGTGTTTCTTGAAACCACAAGGGAACACTTTCTTCTTAAAGCCCTACAAGTCCCTAAACCCACAAAAATCCCCAAATCAAAAACCCTTCTTCTTCTTCTTCCACACCCTCTCTCTCTCCCTCTTCTCTTCCTTTCTCTCCCGCTCATCCGACCGCCCCCACGAATCACCACCGCCAACCACCAGACCACGCGCAGCCGAACGCCGCCACCGGCCGAACACCATCCGTCCGCCCACGCCACCGCGCCGCCGCCTAAGCCGACCGCCCCACCATCACCCACGCTACTCCCAGCTGCAACCCGCTGCCACCACTGCCCAACGTCGCCACCCCGCCATCGCTCCCTCGTCGCCCTGCGCCGGAACCCGCCTAGCCGCCGTCTCCCTCGCAAACACCGCGCCACCGGGAACCTCGCTGGAAAACGTGCCGCCGCCAACTCACCGGAAAACCACCGGAAAGTTCGCCGGATAATTTTCCACCAAGAGAAGCTCCACAATGCCGAAAAAGCCCCTCGGAACCCGCACCCCGGAGTGGAGCAACGCAGATTACACCGTGATCGGAGGTAAAGCCCTTGAACCCGACCAATTTTCTCCGGAATTGGTTGATATGCTTAGACACCAAGGGCTTTTAGATACATATCTCACCATCAAGGGGGATACGTACCCCGAATTGGTGAAAGAATTCTATCAACATCTTGTAGCCACCAAACGGGGCAATAAGCTAGAAATCACCACCAAGGTCCGCGGCAAGGAAATCATACTTTCCGAAGGCCGTTTGGCCAAGCTTTTGAAATTGACCACCACGGGTGTGTCAAGCTATGACCGAAAGGGGTGGATCGATACCCAAAGCACGGGGTACAAGGACTATCTCGGGTACCTACTCGGGAGAGAAGACGGATTCACCGCGGCCACACGACCAAATAGGAAGTGGCTATCGGCGGAACAAAAGATATTGGTTATGATTGTAACCGATAGCCTCTTGCCCACGAACAATAAAAGCAAGGACGTGGGGAGTTTAGAGTGCACCTTTGCCTACTTCTTGAAACACAAAATCAAGTTCAACCTGCCGGCCCTCATGCTAAAACACATGGAGTTTTGCAAATCAAGCAACCGACTTAGCCTACCCTACGGGATGATCCTAAGTTGGATCATGGAGAAAAAGGGGGTGGACCTAAGCCACACTGAGGTTAAAACCGCAAACGGCATGATCTTTAACGCCCAGAATCGCCGCAACGACATCTACTACACCGAAGGGGGACACTACCTCACCATCGAGGAAATTTGCCAAAAACCCGAGGAGGAACGAAGAGAATTGGTCGACCAATTAGACATCTCCAACAAGAAACTCAAGCGGGCAATGCAAGATTGTGGGATCCCGGGGGAAAATGAGGACCGGGAGGAGGAAGACGAGCCCGGACCGCCGTTACACCCACGATAAAGAGGGAATCCCAGGGAGCAAAACGAGAGCTCGATCAATGAGCGCATACTCGCACAACTCAACCGACAAAGCCAAATCATGGAGGAAGGGTTCTCATCCTTGATCCGTACGACACGCGCGCTAGATCAGAGGGTGGCAGCAATCGAGGCCACCTTGGGCACTCGCGGGGCATCCAGCTCAGGAGCAGGAGACCGAGGTAGACCTAAAACCCTTCTATCACAGCGCCACCAGAAATCCAGTCTACCCCAGCTAAGGCAAAACGTGAGGGCCACATTCCTAACCGGGAGGCCAAGATACGGGATGCCTAGGGGTGAAAGAGTGGATTAACACACCCGGCTTCGGGGACGAAGCCCCTCGTAAGGGGGGGAGAGTGTAACACCCCGTGTTACGATCCCTAAAATCAATTAAATCATTTAGCCAATTACCCAAAAGAAGGAATTAAATCACAATAATTAATTAGGAAAGGCCCACCATAGTCCATGTGCCCTTATCCCTAAACCCAATCCTTAGTTCCAAAAGAAATAGAATTAGCAAGCCTATAATATTAGTTCCTAACTAGGACTCCTAAATATATAAATAGGGGGCTTAAGAGGCACCTAGAACCCCCCACCACAATAAACGTTCCACCACCCCAAAGAGCTCCAAGAATTCCCTTAGAAGAAATCAAGAAAGCAAGAAAGCTTAAAGAAAGACCCTTCATAGCCAAGGAATTAATTAAGGCTAAGAGGTAACCCATGTCTCAACAAAACCTATTTTCATAGCTATGATTCCCCTCTTAGGAATTCCCCATATTATTGTGTATTGATGATTTGTGTTATTATTGATGATTGATGGGATAATTCCATGGGTGATCTTGATGATGAAAGGTTCTTGATAATTATGGTGTTCTTGATGATTATATGACGTTCTTGATGATTATATGATGTTCTTGATGATTGTAGGATGTTCTTGATGTTTATATAATATTCTTACCGAATCTTGATATTAGAAGATGAATCGTGACCTTGTTGATTTAAAAATGATTAGAACCCTAGGTTGTATCGTATGGAATTATGCTTGGTATATTGGGTGGGAATTCGCATGATTGGGTGTTTATTATGTTTAGAAAAGCATGATAGGTTATGTGCCGTTTGTTTCCTGATTTTGATCCGTTAATTGTCTACGTGTGTTATCAATTGCGTTTGAAAGTGTCTAAGCATGGTTTCGGGTTCCACAAAGGTTCCCGGGGCGTTTTTGATGAAAAGAGTCAGTGGGGGGATAGGGGACCCGCCACCTACCCATGGCCTTCTTGCGGCAGCGGGCAGCCGGCGGGCGGGCAGCTGCCCGCCGGGCACCCGCTGCCCGGAATGGCTGCCGCCGGCGGGTGAACCCTCACCCACCGGCTACCCGCTGGTTTGCACCCCAATTGGGGATTTTGGCTTCCCCGTTTGATGTTCCCCCGACCCCCGTGGTGTCCCAACGGACTCCGTCTATCGTGCCTATGTCTAGTTTGATTTTCGGGTACCATTCGTAGGTCGTATGGGTCTTATATATTGCATGCTAGTTGAATTGGTATCCCGTTGACCTAGGTGAAAGAAGTATGAACCCCTTAGGACTATTCTTAGTATGTGAAGGATCACGCATAGGTTTTGTTATACGTTTTCTCCCCCTTCCCAATGTGTTAATGTGGGTTGCATGTGCTTGCTATGTGTTATGTGTGCATGTTACCCCGACTTGGTTAAGATCAATCGGGCTATACGGGCAGTCGGGTGGGCTGAGAACCATACCGGCTGTTAACCAGGCTGGTAAAGACCGGTCAGGTATATAAATATTATATAGGACTAAGATCCACTATACGGGCAGTTGAATGGGTTGAGAACCATCCCAACTGTTAACCAGGCTGGTAGAGACCGGTCAGGTATATAAATATTATATAGGACAAAGGTCCACTATACGGGCAGTTGAATGGGTTGAGAACCATCCCAACTGTTAACCAGGCTGGTAGAGACCGGTCAGGTATATAAATATTATATAGAGCTGCGGCTCATCGGTCGGTTGCGATCGACCCCTCCGTGCTGTGAGACGGGGCAGGGTTCTGCGGGGCCGTGTCAGAGCTATATGCGCTGACCCTCATGTATGGGCATGCGATTGGTCCTGTGGTGCCAACAAAGTGTGCTATGTGATGAAGTATGGATGAGTTGTTGTTATGAGTATCTTGGGGATGAGACTATGAGATTTGTACCGGTGATTGTATATGTTGGGTTATGATTATTAATTGTGCTTATCTTATCTGTCTTGCCTGTTGTAAACTGTATATGCTTGGTATAACTGCTGTCTGTGCTTAGCCCTATCTGTTGAGTCTATCCCTGTTTCAAAAGCTAGAGTTCGTAGGAGATATCTTCATGTTCGAAATGACTTTTCGTATATCTATATAGATATCTATATGTATTGTATTTCAACACGTTGGAGTGGGTTACCAGCATCTCTCGTTGAACAGATATATTTGGCTTTCAGCCACAGACGAGTAGATCACTGGAGCGCGCTAGAAGCTTGGGCGTAGCTTAGATAGTTTTTCCCTTTCGGCCTGCGTGCCATGATTTAGTATTGATACCATTTGAGGATGTTAGTTAGTTAGCCTGTGCACCTGAGTTCTCTAGCTCAGGTGTGGCATAGCACCCCGCACTCTTGAATTATGTTTTGGGATTTAATGGAATTTCACCTTTATTTTATAAGTTTTTAATATCTCGAAAATCTGGGGTGTTACATGGACCGATTTCAGCCTTTCTGCACTTGTGGCATCAAGCTCTTGTGAGAGCCATGGCTTGATTTTGGTGGAGTTTGAGGTGCAAGATGATTTCCCAGATGCCCAAATGCAAGCATTGTCCTTGAAATTTCTTAGGGTTGCTTTGAAGGGGGCTTGGGTCTGCATATTTTGCTATATATCTAAACATATAGTCCATACATCACATTGTTAATCAACTCCTAGAATTTTTCACCTAAATCTGTTGAAGTCTTGAAGACTAAAAACAATACTACATTCATCCAAAATGACCATGTGCACTTGACTTGGCATGACTAATAGGCTAAAAAATTGATTAGTGTAGTTTATTAAGTTAAATTCAAAATATATGTTAGTTTAATGCAAGTGATGTCGGCAAAAATGGTGATACAAGTAACTTTGAATTGTTATGTTGTTGGATATCAGATGATGTTGGTGTAAATTTTGTGTGTGTGAACAGTTGGAGTTTGATAGTCATTTTGTAAACGTTTATTTAACACATGGAATTAGTTGCAACTGCAAATAATGAATTTCTATGATTCATTATACTTTTAATATTCAGCTTCATGCAATTATCAATGATTGATTGTAGTTCACTTCATTTTCAATTTCTTAGAGTTAATCATTTCTTTAATTCATTATTTTTGCTAGAACTTACACACATTTATAATGCTGATGGACCATAAGGATAAACAAAATTATTACTTTGTGTGCACTAATTATGGCCATATGAAGTTTGATGCCACTTGTTCCCAGTGTGGTGCCACATGTAGCAAATTTCACAAAAAAGAAATTATCATTTCTCTCTTCTCTGAGCTCTATATATTTATAAATATGATAATTGTGCACATAGTTATCTTTCATTGATAGTAAATAGCATGTAGATCATAGGTGATTATTTTGTAGGCAGATAGTAGGTAACAAACTATGAACCTAAAAAAGATCATCTCTAGTTGCTCCAAATTTTAACATTTTTGTTAGCTACTTGACCTAAACTCATGGAAAATGTAGAGCCTCGATAAATAAAAAATTCATTTTTTTTAAGGAAACTATTTTAACATTAGTTTTTTATGATGCATGAACCAAGCTGTGTTGAATGCTTGAGCCATCACTTAGTCATGCATATGTAATATATTTGTAATGGAAGATTAAGATTATCCGTTTAGGTGTTGAAGCTGGAGTTGTTTAATTCAATTCTAATATTGCCTTATGTTCTTGTTTTATTATTTTGATTATAGATGATAGATGATTATTCCAGTCATTTTTTTATTTTTAGGATGAAGGCTCGTGAGGGTCTTCTAAAGTGTAAGGAACTGGGGCTTTCTAAAGCAGAGATGAAAAAGCTTTTACCCATTGTTGATGCTAGTTCTTCTGATTCAGGTTTTGCCCACTTTCTTTTTCTTAAAAGCTACTTTTATGCATTTCCTTGACAAAACACTCCCAATACTCACTATATGGTTCCATTTGTTTTGTAAAGGCCGCTATGAACCAGCTTTCATCAGATATCATCTTCAGGTATTATTAATCATTTTATACCATATATCACTTTCTTTGTTTGCTTGCTTGTAAGTTGTGATAACAAATTTTTATTATTTTTGGTGGGGTGTAGGAGGCGATGATCAAAGATACTCTGGAACGCACAAAGGAACCCAACTTGAACTTGAAAGAGTACCTGAAGCTTTTTTAAGTATTCTTCCTCTTTATGGTCATTGGTATCCTTATTTTTTAAATTATTTTCTTTTGTAGCTTTCAATTATTTTTAATTTAGAATTGTAAATCTGAAATTTTATTTATAGTTTTTTACAAGTATTGTAGTAACTAGTAATTCACCCGCGCGATGCACGGAAAAAAATATGTTATTATAAATATAAATAAAAAATAGAAAAAATAAAAATATTTTAAATTGTTTAATATAATAATATTTTTGAGCTTCCATTGATCAAGTATTTATTATTTTTATAGAATACAAAATTACAATTAAAATTAAAATTAAAATTTTGTATGGTTAATATAATCTCTAATTATGTACATATTCAAATAAACTTATAGAGAGAATTTACATAATTACATTGATTTATTCTTAATTGTATTTCATCTATATTATAATTTTCACAATACGAATAATAACTAAGATAATTACATTTAGAAAGCAAATTTCAAATTTTGTATGAGTAAATTTAAACTCTAATTGAATGCATTTTTTTATATGATTATATAATATATTCTTTATGCACATGTCATTCCATAAAGCCAAATGTCATTCTATAAGTCGAAGACCACTTTTTGTGGAGATAATTCAAATGAATTTTTTTTTTTTCCTTTAAAAGTCCTAAGTTTAGAAATCCAGAAAAACATTAAAGACCATACGATATATATATTTAAATTTTTATTAATGGCTCATATGATTTTTTTTTTTTTAAATTCTGAGGTCCAATAATTGACCCACGGCCCGCAGCATTTGCTTTCTTAATCCCTTCTCACTTCTGCCATTTCTTTGAAGCATTTGAGAAGATAGAAAAGTACACTCCACAATCTCTACCGGTAGAAGGTGGTTCCTTAATGTGTGGCTCCATTTTTGTTCCACTTTCCATGATTCTTCTCTTTTATTTACTCCTTTTTTTTTTTTTTTTTTTTTTTTGTAGGTGTGATTGTTAGAGCCTCCTCTACATTCTACCGTCTTTTGTCTCCTCCGCTGCCATGGCCATGAAAATACACAAATGGTAGGATAAATTGCTGCAGTTTACACTCACATGGATTTGATCTGGGGTGTTTTATTGGAGAAAAATTATATGTAGAGGCTTGCATTAATTGCACTGTTTCAGATATCGAATAGGCTTTCATCGAAAATTTAATTAATATTGTAATCTCAAGAAGCACCATAAATAACAAAAGCATATCAAATAGACTTTCATTGTAAAGCCATATATATATATATATATATATATATATATATATATATATATATATATATATATATATATATATATATATATATATATTGAAAGGAGTCGGTATGGCATTTTACTCAAAATAAGCTGAAATAGCGTCAGGAGGGACAGAGTCCTAGAAGTAGTAAAATTTAAAGTGCTAGCTGCTAAAGTATGAGCTAAATAATTATCTGATCTAGGAATAAAACTAATACGACAGTAATTATACATAGGTATGTAAGCCCTGCAGATATCGATAGCATAGCCACTATACGAACGCACTGAGGTAGCTGTGGATGTTAAGTACTGTTGTAGTGTTAAACAATCAGTGAACACCTCTATAGATTGTTCGCCATGGTCTCTTAGCCATGATAGTACCTCCTTGCATGCTACGGCTTCGGCCATGAGCGGTGAGAAGCACTCGGGTAGCGTGGCAGCAAAGGCCGAGACATAAGCACTTTCTCCGCTGAGGATGACCGCCCCAACAGTTGCCTTGTTCATTGCATGATGATAACTTGCGTCGAAGTGGCATACAACTCATTGATCTCCATTCGGCGCCGACGGCATAATAGCTTGAACAAACTGCTGAGCAGCAGCAGTTTCTCCCTGAGGCAGTGTAGCGGCAGTAGACGTTGCTGGTTGGCGTGAATCCGGATGGGCTTGGCGCCAGGATTGCATAACCGTCGAGGCTGCCCCAATAATCCCGTCCGGTCACGGAAGACAAGCCTCCCAAACGGCACGATTCCTTGTCCGCCATATGTGGTACAAAATTGCAGCTGCATACATTATTCCATTAGCGTCGTGAATTTTTAACAATTCACTAAACCAATCATGAAAAATATTCGTCACAACATTTGGGATTGGTAGGCGGGATAGAGACCAAACTGATCTTGCATAGTCACATGATACGAGAGAATGCATAGTGTCTTCATACATAACCCCACACATAGCACAATTAGAACCCACATCCACCCTATTCATAATTAAATTCCTAGTTGTGGGGAGAATATTACTCAAGGCTCGCCACAGAAAAGTTTTCCATTTGGGTGGAACCCTAAGTTTCCAGAAGGTTAGCCATTTATCAAATGTGCCCACTGTACCAACATAGTCTCCCATAATACGCCTATAACCACACTTCACTGAATAGTGCCCTTTTGGGTCCCCATGCCAATACCACGAGTCATCATAATCCGGAGATATGGGGATTTTCAATATTCGTGTGACATCAGGAGGCATAAAAATATTTCGTAGCACGGGCTGATCCCATTGCCCTGTATCCGGGTCAATCAAACCTTTGACCACAGCTCCAGCTAACTGCGCTGGGGGTTCAGTGTGTATCATGGGATCCTGGTCATCCTGTAGCCAGGGTTGTTCCCAAATTAGTGTAGACTCCCCATTCCCAATCCTGTGCCTGACCCCGCTACAAATCAAACCATGGGCTGCCATAATACTGCGCCAACAGAAGTTGGGGTTATTTCCCAAAATTGCATTAAAAAATGATCACTTGGGATAGTACCTGGCTTTGTATACTTTTGAGACCAAGGAATCAGGTTTAGTCGGAAATCTCCAAGCCTGTTTTCCCAACATGGCCAGGTTAAAGGTCCGTAGCTCTGTAAAGCCCAATCCTCCAAACTTCTTAGGAATACACAGTCTATCTCCAAGCCTATTTTCCCAACATGACCAGGTTAAAGGTCCGTAGCTCTTTAAAGCCCAATCCTCCAAACTTCTTAGGAATACACAGTCTATACTACGCCTTCCAGTGGATTCCACCCCCTTCCCCGGAACCCCACCAGTAACGGTTCATAGTTCGTTCAATGGCAGTACAAACTGTGATAGGCAATAGGAAAACACTCATTGAGAATGTGGGCATTGACTGAGCCACACTTTTCAACAAGATTTCCTTCCCAGCCTGCGTTAACAGCTTCTTATTCCATGACCCAATCTTCTGCTTAATCTTATCCTCTATATAAGAGAAAGCTGCCTTCTTATTCCTCCCCACAAATGAGGAAAGTCCCAAATATTTGCCAAAATTAGGAGCCTGGTTAACCCCCTAAGATCTGTGCTACTTCATCTCTATCTTCCCCTCGTGTATTCTTACTATAACAAATACTAGACTTGTGGTAGTTAACCACCTGTCCAGACAAATTCTCATACGTGTCCAAACACTGTTTAATAACCTCCGCTTCCTGGGCATTCGCTTTAAAGAATAAGAGGCTATCGTCAGCAAAAAACAAGTGGGAAATAGGAGGTACACCCCTAGCCACCCTGCAACCATGAGTAGAACCCCTTTCCTGTTTTTCCTGCAATAATAAGGACAGTCCCTCTGCACATATAATGAAAAGATATGGAGGTAATGGGTCCCCCTGCCTCAATCCACGAGTTGGTACCACCGGGCTAGATCGTGTTCCATTGAGCAAAATATTGTACGAGACTATAGTCACACACATCATAATCAACTCGACCCATCTATTATAAAAACCCAACGACAAAAGCATGCTCCGCAGGAAGGGCCATTCCATACGGTCATAGGCTTTCGCCATATCCAATTTTAGGGCACCCCAGCCAGCTGCACCACACTGCTTCCTATTCAAATAATACCCTACCTCCGCAGCTATTAGGATATTATCCGTAATTAGCCTGTCTGGCACAAACGCACTTTAAGAATCCGATATAATATGGTCCATTATAGGTTTCATCCTGGCTGTTATCATTTTAGCCATCACTCTATACACCACATTACTCAAGGCTATAGGTCTTAAATCAGTAACCATTTTAGGGGCATTTTTCTTAGGGATCAGGACAATATCTGTGGCATTTAAATTTGCTGGAAAAGAGCGAGTATTTAGGAAGTCAACAAAATAGCTTGAAACATCCCCACCTACCACATCCCAGAAATGCTGGTAAAAGCCTGGATTTATACCATCAGGCCCAGGCGCCTTATCCGGAAACATCGAAAACAATGCAGATTTCACCTCTTCAAGTTGAAAAGGGCGGAGCAAAGAGTCATTATGCGCCTGTATGACCCTCAGTGGTACCTTCTCATAAAACTCATCACCATCCCCAGTACCATTAGTACAGAATATATTACGGAAGTAATCCAGAATTACACCAGTCATGGCCTCCCCCTCCACCCAATTCCCATAATCATTCTTAAGAGTAGATAAAATATTCTTCTTTTTACGATAAGAAGCATACCTGTGCTAATATTTGGTATTGGCATCCGCATTCTTAAACCAGTTCTGCTTGGCCCTCTGCCTCCAGTATGCGTCCTCTTGGATCTCAATACGGCTCAACTGCTCTTCTATACGCTGGAACTCGGTTAATGACACCGGGTCCACACGTCCTTGTAATTACATCTGGGCTTTCCGTAGCTTCATCATTTGTTCCCCAAACTTGTGGAAACGATCTCCTCCCCATTTAGTCAACCGGTTCCCACATAACGCCGTACAATCCTGCAACCCCATAGCCCTTCCTTCATTCCACGTCTTCTCCACCACACTCCTACAACCCTCATCATGAAGCCAAGCCATCTCAAAACTGAACCCCCGGGTGCCACCCCCACCCCCCCTCGCCCGAGGATTCAGAATCCCAAGGAAAAGGGCAGAATGATCAGACTTACGGGTTAACATATTTAGGACACTTGCTTCTACAACCCTGTCACGCCACCCTTGAGTGGCCAGTACTTTATCCAGATGTTCCTCTATCCAATCTACTGTTCCCTTCCCTGTTTCCCATGTGTACGGATAACCAATCATCGGTAGCTGCGTCAAACCACAATCCTGAATAGTATCCCCAAATCCGCGTAGGAGTCTATCCGGATGCGGGTTTCCTCCTTGTTTCTCACGTTGGAATAAGAGATCATTGAAATGCCCTATTACAACCCAAGGCAGATCAGACTTTGAAGCAAGTGATTTAATTAGATTCCAAGACTCTTCACGCCTCCACCGTTGTGGGAAACCATAAAAACCAGTCATCCTCCACTTCTCAAAACCAGGAACACAAACCTCTACATCCACATGATTTTTAGAATAACTTAGTAGCTTGGCTGTGTTATTGGTTCACTACAGCAAAGCCAATCCTCCCCCTCTTCCAGTACTATCAACATAAAACAGACCATCAAACCCAAGCTTAACACGAAGCCTTTCTGCATGACTTCGATCAACCTTAGTTTCCATTAAGAACACAAAATCGGGCTTATTCTTGGACACCATGTCCACCACCTCCTGAACTGTCCATGGATTGCCCAAACCACGACAATTCCAGCTCAAGGTACTCATTGGGTTGGGCGGGCCTGCGACACAGGTCCCGCCATTCGCAAGTTTTTTAAAACATCATTCATCTCAACATCATCACCATCCTGCCCCAAACTGCCCCTACCCCGTCTCACAACCTCCCTCATCCTCTTCAGAGCGACCCACACTGCCCCCTCCGAACTCTCCCTCTTGGCCGGAAACTGCCCTCCGGCCGCCTCGTCTACAATTGCCGCCATCACCACCGCATTCCCTGCTTTCGGCTTACCACCAAGCGGCACTAACCAAGGATCCCCTACCGCCCTCGGCCCTCCCCTTCCACCTGCCCTAAGTTCCGCCCCATACAGAAACTTCTCAACCGGCAACTTCGCCTCTCTTGCCTTCAAACAAAATTTATACGAGTGGCCCAGTAACCCACAACAGAAACAAAACATATGCAAGCGTTCGTACCTGAAATTCACCCAACAAGTAGTTTTATCCCGCTTGAGCAATTTCATCCGCCTCTTCAATGGCCGAGCCACTTGAATAGTGACCCGGATGCGGTAGAAAGCCAAGCATTGTGCACCCGCAAACCTCTCATCATGCCGAATAAACACCCCAATATAGTTACCTATCTGCTCCCGGATTAACTCCGAATTATATCCCAACGGCAAGTCACGAAGTTGCACCCATATATCCACCGTGTCCAGCTTCACCTCCATTGGCAGGGCTCCATCCGAAAGTTGACGGCAGATTAAGGTATGGTTTTCGAACGCCCATGGCCCTTCATCCAACATAACTGTAGGTCCGTCTCATGGAAGAACACAAACATAAAACGGTTAGGTTGCACCTCCGTGACTTGGACTCCCAGTACCAATTGCCAAACCGATGCTAGGGTTTGCCTCATGTACTCTATCTTGATCGTTTTCCCAGTCAGAAAACACACTATCAGTACCCATGTCCTCTCTTCGGCTACTGCACCCCCTTCGACCCCCTCTGTCATCGGCTCAAAGGCCGTGTCCTCCTCCTCCAACGCCCATTCTGCCCACCTCGTCGACAATTGCTCCACGTCCGCTTGTGTTTCCGACATCGCCACGCACACCGGACGCTCAAACACAAATCTTCCGACATAGAAACCGGTTAGATAACCGTATGAAAAGCAAAGTACATATGTTGGAACCCAGAAACCCTAGGAGGAAGAAAAACCCTAGATAATACTAGAGAGAGAATTTCTATATGGCTACTGACATCATAGCATCATTGAACTTAGAAAGTGTCAGATATTTAATTAATATTGCATTGTTTCATATTTTCTATTAATCGGGAATCGGAATCCTCAATCATAATATCATAACATTTAATAACTACATTAATTTAATAAATGTAATCCTTTGTTATGGGTGAGAAAAAAATAGCTATTTTATTTTTCAAATGTTGTGTTTTTTTATTTTTTATCTTTTTTATTTTTATAGTAAAGGATGTTATGGTTATTTTATAAAAATAAGAATAGAGATAATAATTGTAACAATAATTGCTCACCAAAATATTAATTGTAACATTAATTACTTCCCAAACCATATAGCTTTATTATAGTTAAGATTTCATAATGGTTGTGTGAGAATTAGGGGTGAGCATCGGTCGGTTACGGTCAATAACCGACCGATAACCGAATAACCGATCATATTTTTTAACACTCCATAACCGACCGTAACCGACCGAACATATACTAATAACCGACCGAAACCGATTATGTCGGTTTCGGTCGGTTATTGCGGTAACCGAAAAACCGTGAATTAGCATTAGATTTCACTGTATATTAAAAATAAAATTAATAAAACATACATCATTACCAAACTGTTTAATACTTAAAGTCTTAAACAAAATAAACACTAAACATTCAAGTTCAACACTGCCAGAGTGCCACTTAAAGTCGTAAACAATAAACATTCATCACTACCAAGTGCCAAATTCAATAGTTCATAGTTTATAATTCCAACTTTCCAAGTTCCAAACATCCAACACTGCCAATTGCCAAAGGCCCAAAGCGCCAATCTGCATAGCCGAAGTTGCATACAAATTCAAAAAGGAAAAAGAAAACAAGTTCCAACACTGCCAAATATCCAAAATGCCAATCTTCATCAAGACCTGCTTACTTGCATCCAAAAGATAATCAAAAGTTAATATATGATATATGAATATTATAATTAATACATAATAAATAAACATAAACATACACACATACAATATTAACTTACATAGTCAATTATATTCTTCTTGCATCTTGCTTTTCTAATCAATCACAGGATCCAACCTCAACTTTGACATATCTAAATCATATAAAAAATAAACATTAAATAAAGAAAGAACAATAAGAAAATTATATTATTTAAAATAAAGTAATGATTTTGATACTCACCCACGTCTAGTTTATACATCTCTCCAACATCATGCTCAACTAAATCAGTCATTGAAATGGTGTTTTCTTCTCGTAACCAATCTTGAGTGCACACAAGAGCTTGTACAATTTTAGGAGTTAATGAACTCCTATAAGTATCAAGCACACGTCCACCGGTGCTAAATGCAGATTCAGATGCGACAGTTGATATAGGAACAGCCAATACATCACGAGCCATGCATGATAGAATGGGAAATCTATGAGCATTTTCTTTCCACCAACGGAGAATATGAAATTCACCACCACCATTCTGAGTATCAAGCTCTTCATTGATGTATTTATCCAATTCATTTTTTGCTGCCCAAGTCCAATTTCAACCAAATACTTTTCAAAGTCAGTTACAATGTTTAGTGGACTATCACTATTCGACCCATCTGCATTAGTGGCACTCGTTGGTTGAGTAAAATTGCTACCCTCACCTTGTGAAACTTTCAACAACCCATGGTATTCAACAAACAACTTACTAGTCACTTCTCTAAGGTTAGAAGACAATATTGAAGCTTGATCAGGTGAATACATTCTCTTGAAGCAAAAATCAGCAAACACATTTTTCCTTCTAGGGTCAAGAACAGTTGCAACATAAAGTATCATATTCATCCTCTCAACATTCCCCCAATATTTGTCAAATTTCTCCTTCATTCTTTTGGCCATAACGCAAAACTGTTCGTCATTACTCTTAATCCAATCACAAAAAGTACAATACAATTCACAAATTTTAGGAAAGTAAACATTGCTAGTCACATATGTAGTTCCGGAAACTTTCAATGTGAATTCATAGAAACGTTGCAAAAACTTGCTTACTTTCCTAACATTTCCCCAATCCTCTTCTTTGGGTGTGCCACCATTCAACACGAGCTCATGCTTATAATTGTGGTCAAGCTCTTCAAATCTCTCAAATGCTCTTTCAAATTTTTGAGCCTAATCTAACATCAAGTAGGTAGAATTCCACCTAGTGCCACAATCCATGCTCAACAAAGATTTAGATTGAATTTTTTCCAAGTCTATACATTCTTTAAACCTATGCAATCTAGCCGGTGATTGCCTCACATACTTCACTGCGGATCTAACACGAGTAATTGATTCATTCACTTCCTTCAACCCGTCCGTGACAACCAAATTAATAATGTGTGCAACACATCTCATGTGAATAAATTTGCCCTCTAAGATAGTTCCACTAACATTGTTCAATTTCCTTTTCAAGTATTGAGTAGCCACATCATTTGAACTAGCATTATCCACGGTAATTGTGAAAACCTTGTCTATTGCCCAATCACGCAAACATTTTTCAATCATCTTACCAATATCTTCACCTTTATGACTATTAATTGGACAAAAATTAATTATTCTTTTTTGCAAGCTCCAATTATTGTCAATAAAGTGACAAGTAAGACACATATAATTTTCTCTTTCCAATGATGTCCAAGTGTCCGTGGTAAGTGATACCCTAAGTGAAGACATATGGATAAACTTAGACAACTTTTGCTTCTCATCCAAATACATACCATAACAATCCCTAGCAATAGTCCATCGTGATGGAACCTTAAACCTTGGACAAGCAATAGACAAGCATTTTCTAAAACCCTTAAATTCAACAAACTTGAAGGGGATTTCATGATTTATAATCATTTCAACAATGCTCGCTCTAAGTGCCTCAGCACTATACTTCACACAACCTAGTGATCCTTCCCCTTCAAGCAATTCAGTTTGGCTAGGGTCACTACTAGCACGGGGCATTTTCGGGCAGCTTCTAACATGGGCTTTTAGTGAACTAGTGCCGTTTAGTTTAGGATCAGCAAACAATTCTTTCTGACAATAATTGCATCTAGCTTTTCGCTCACATTTCTCATTACTAAATTTAGTAAAATGTTCCCATACCTCAGATTTTTGTTGGCTAACCTTTCTTTTCTTAGATTTGTTTACTTCCTCATTAGCCTCCGTTGCAACAGTTAGTGAAATATCTGGCTCTTTTTCAACCGAATCATCATCCATATCAATATCATCATCAATATGCATGGATCTCATTGTTGGATTTGTTGACATCTATAATTAAAAGAATAATTTAATACTAAAATTAAAAACTGAAAAAATGAAAAGGTCAAAACTTATACTGCCAAAGTTAAAAATTGAAATTCCTAATGAAAAATTCATACTGCCTTAGTGCCTTTTCATTTTGAAATGTTCATACAAAATATAATCTAGTGAATACAAAACTGAATTGATTGAAAAGTTAATACAGCCTAATTAAAATTGAAATAATGAAAATTGAAAAGTTCATACAACTTAACGAAAAATTCATACAATCTAACATAAATTTAAAGAAAACAAAAATCAGAAATTACCTTGAATAAATTGTTCAATTTTGGAGCTTGATTGTGATGAATCTGGATTCTGGGATTCAGATTTTCTGGAGCCGAAACAGTGAAACACTGCAAATTTTTTAAAAATAAATATAAATGAAATTGTGAACTACCAAAGACTTCAAATTCAACAAATATAAATTATAAAATTAGTATGTAACTTACCTTGAATCCTTTGATAGTTGGAACTTAGAAGAGGGGAAGAACCAATAATCTGAGAATCTGAGATGGGTGAA